ATTGCAGTTCATGCGTGCACAGTTTCCTCATTTAGCAACCCCTGCCTGGACTCACCCGACTCCTTCAGAGGTATCGAACTGCATGTAAAGTTGTGCAGCTTTGTTGGCTCTCCAGGCAGCTGAGTGCCAAGATCTGCTCACTCGGTCAGGGCATGCGATATGACCTAAACTCTCGACTTGACCCTCTCTGCCACAATTCACTATCAGCAGTTACCGTGCAGAAGACTGTTGTAGCCATCCTTCCTCATTTTGCCTAATTTACTCTCCACTCTTGCACTGAAGCAAAACAATTTCTTTACCCAGATCATAAAACATATTAAGCCATCATGCATACTTTAAATCATGCAAAATTTCCTGTTTCACCTGTTTTTAACAATAAGACCATTCCTGGTAATTAAAGCAAGGGGGTGATGTGAAGCAAAAGGTTCTCTTTACAACTAATAGTTTCATAGTTGGTCGGGTCGGAAGGGACCTGAGCAGATCATCAAGTCCGACCCCCTAGCGTGGGCAGGAAAGAGTACTGGGGTCAAACAACCCCAGTGAGGTGTTCATCCAGCCTCCTCTTAAAGACCCCCAGGGGAGGAGCCAGCACCACTTCTCCTGGAAGCTGGTTCCAGATCCTAGCCGCCCTGACTGTGAAGTCGCACCTCCTGATGTCTAGTCTGAATCTACCCTCTGCCAGCTTGTGACCGGTATTTCTAGTCGCTCCTGGTAGTGCTCGGGGGAACAGGGACTCCCCCAATGCCTGCTGGTCCCCCTTAGCCAGTTTATAGATGGCCACTAGATCCCCCTCAGCCTTCTCTTGTGGAGGCTGAACAGGTTCAGGTCCCGTCGCCTCTCCTCGTAGGGCCTGCCCTGCTGCCCCCTGACCATGCGGGTGGCCTCCTCTGGACCCTCTCCGTGCTGGCCACATCCCTCCTGAAGTGCGGCGCCCAGAACTGGACGCAGTACTCCAGCTGCGGCCTGACCAGTGTCACATAGAGGGGTGCCTCTGCACTGACGAGAAGGGAGTTCCCCAGCCTGTAGGTCTGCTGCTGGTTCTTCCTCCCCAGATGCAGCACCTTGCACTTGTCAGTGTTGAACCCCATCCTGTTCTCATCCGCCCACCCCTGTAACCTGTCCAGGTCCGATTGCAGCCTGTTCCTCCCTTCTAGCGTGCCCACATCCCCCCACATCTTAGTGTTGTCTGCGAATTTGCACAAGGTGCTTTTTACCCCCTTGTCCAAGTCACTGATGAAGATGTTGAACAGTGCGGGCCCGAGGACCTAGCCCTGGGGGAACCCACTGCCCACAGCCCTCCAGGTCGAAAACAACCTGTCCACCACCACCCTCTGGGTGCGACCCTCCAGCCAGTTAGTGACCCATTTGACTGTGTAGGTGTCGATGCCACAGTCTCCTAATTTCTTAATGAGAATGGGGTGAGAGACAGTGTCGAAGGCCTTCCTAAAGCCCAGAAAGACTATGTCCACCACAACACCTACGGCCAAGGATTTTGTGACCTGGTCGTAGAAGGCCACCAGGTTCGTCTGACAGGACCTGCCTCTAATGAGCCCATGTTGGTTGCCCCTAAGCATGATGTCCCCTGCCGGTCCCTCGTGGACATGCACCAGGATAATTCTGTCTAGGATCGAGGTAAGACTAACTGGCCTAGAGTTTCCTGGGTCCTCCTTCCTCCCTTCTTTGAAAATGTGGACCACATTGGCCCTTAAACCATCATTTGTCCTTAAACCATGTAAATCCTGCAGAAATGCCTTAGCCGGAAAGACTGGAGTCCTTCAAAGAAGGTGGAAGCAAATAACCAAATACTACTGCAAGTCAACACACCTAATTCCCTTTAAGTCCTTTTGATGTTCCCAGTGCTCTTGCCCATTTATATGTACGCACCTTCACAAGGCTGCTGTTTGAATTGATTCAAATTTGCAAAGCATTCCCTACACCCACGGTCAGATGCAAAGAAAGGAGAGCTATGGAGGTCCTTGACTTAAATATTGATGAATATCATTATTAGATTAAGAAAGCTATTACTAGATCTCACGCACAAAAACAACTTGCAAGGAGCAGGAGATGCTTTGGAGTGCGAGCTGAGGCCATACAACTTGTTTCAGTTGTGACATGATACAGAAGGATTTGAGTAACTGAGCCCCTGGAAAAACTAATGTCGTATTTCATTTGCAGTAGATTAAAGCCTCCATCTGCACACGCACACAAGCCAGGCGGCCGAACCAGCAGTCGGCTTTACAACACATTCAGGTTCTCAGCTCCGTCATCTCACTTTTGAACGTAAATTCCACGGGAAGTATAGTTGTTTAATTTTCTTTTTGTGCTTAAAAAAGCCTATTAGATCTTCATTGCTCTCCTCCCTTCCTCCCCACTCCGACATTCTCCCCATAGCCCACAGTTAATGAGAAGAAATCAGTATATTGCACCTCTCTGCTGAAATGGCAGGATTCTTTGGTTACCAACTCATTTGCTGTTTAATTGAAATCTTTTCTCCAAACTCATTTCCATACCACTGCTCTTTTTGAATGCAGAATTACAGCCCAGTATTGATCATCCTTCCCCCCCGCCCCCATCCTCAATTGAGTTTGCAAGAATACACATTTTTTTTAAGCAACCCATCCTGCTGCCCTGGTCCAATCTGAAACCTACTGGCGTGGCTTGAGGCAATTTGCTAGATAAAGGGATCAAAAAAATTTAGTCTGAAATGTATGAAATCTAGACCCGCACCTACCATATAAGGTGCGTGCGTGGGTGGATATATAGATTAGTTCAGACAAGGTTTAGATGAGGAGTGGATTAAAGGCATTGGCTGTGAAGGAGCGGAGTTGGTAAAGCAAAATCCTAATGCATATTTCAGCTCATGTCTGGTCATAATTCTCTCCCCCCTGGCAAGAACAACGTCTTTGCTGATGAGATGAAACAAAGCAAATTTAAGGATGGCGGGGGCTTGTGGGGTGGAAACTGCACTCAGTACAGCCATTGAAATTTTCAGAAAATTATTCTGCTGATCCTTTTCTAGAGATCAAACTGCATTTGTGATAGTTTTGGGATTGAAAACTCAAGCTCTGTAGTTAAATTATTTGCCAGCCAGTGAGAAGGACCGGTGTAATGCCATGGCTCTTTATATACAAGCCGTGTCCTTGTCCAGGACTGACTGCTGACCATTTGGCATGCAGGTCATGTTGTTACAGAGGCTAGTACACTTCCAGTTCATCCGAGTAACGACAGGAAATGAACCCTGCACTTGGCCAATTTAGGCATGTTGGGTGCTGGGGATCGGAAGTGGTACCCACGCTTGGTTTAGGCTATCACATTTGGGCTACCAGCAGGCACGTGCATTTGGTTAGGGCTACCAGCCGACATGTGCATTATTCGTGCATCCCGGGGTATCTAATCCCCTGAGGATGTGTGGTTGAAGCCCGACAGTTATGCGAGTTGCTTCCATAGCCGGAGCTCTAGAGGTGAATACTTCCAGCTTTGGAGGCTGCGGGTTCAATGCCAGCACAGTAGTCAGGATGACAGATGCAAGGCAACCATGGAGCATATGGTGATGTGCAATTACAGTGAAGAAATAGAGGTCTTTGTGACCTCGCCTTCTAAGTGCTATGCCAAAAGCCTGTCAAACAGGAGATTCAAGGCCAATCTGGTAGAGATTTGCAATTCCTGTTGGCCAGAAAGGAAAAAAATTGCCCCTGTTCTATGAATAATCATTATCCCCATCCCTTCCCTACTACTGGAATATGGGTGAGAGACAGACGTGTGTTAGAGACACCCTCCTCAAGACCTTCCCCCAAAGCAAACCAAGGTCTATCCGCCACATCTCAGTGGCATTTCCGGAGAGGATTGACCTGCCTGTTTATCCTGTTATATAGATATGTGTCTTTGCACCTCAACTTGCTTCTGACACAAGACACGACCCTTCTTGTTTCCCAAGACTGTGGAACAGCAGCAACAGGCTAGGCACTGCTTAATCTTTAGGGACAAACGTTGCACATAAACTGGTTTAAGTGATCAGAAACCGCCTTAACCTACAACAGAAGAGACGTTCAGTGCGCATAAAACTGGCCAAAACTGGTTTGAGATAAACCTGGGTGAATGCAGTATCAGACTTAACTGATTGAGCTCAAACTGGTTTATGCAATGTCTGTCCCAGACCTAGAGGTGAAGGGGGGTCTTGAAGATCTACCTGATGCATAGGCATTTTGCTAGGCCTTGCTCATAAGGGTGAATTGCACTGCTTACGACCTGGTGACTTGGCTTACCTCATGCTAATGGGGATTTGAGCCCTTGAAAGATGCTGCTTCCTGCTTTCCCCACACTCAAGCTCCTCTCTCATGACGAGGATCATTCCAGAGAGAGACGCAGCCCTTGCCAGCCAGAGGAAAAGGCCATGTCACCATCTTGAACTCAAGTTCCCTGCATTGCAGATACAGTTATCTGCAACCGCCAGGAAGAAAACATAATCCCTTTCCCCTACAGTCTAAAAATTCTGCGTGCATCGCTGAGCCATGTGACACCCACTAAAACCGGCAAAAATCATACAGCTCGAATCCCATCTGCCCCTTTGAAGACGAGACCGTCGGAGACCCGTACTATTTGCCATGTAGTTACACAGTAATTGGTGCCCCGTAATAAAACAAAGCTAATCTCTGAGTGTATTTTTCCACGGGAGTTCATATTTCTGATTTAGGCAGACGCCGGGGATCTGTACCAAAATTAGCAAAAGGATTTTCTTTTGTTTGTGATCTCCTGGTACTTGGGCAGCAGCTGGGACTCTGCATTCAGACATTTTTGGGCTGGGCAAACAAATTACCAGAGACTAGCCTCATTTAAAAAAGCTGCAGAAGTAGCTCTCCAATCTTACAGTGGGAATCAGACGCTGACTTCTTCGTTTATAGATCCCGGGCACTCTGATGGAGCAGGGTCTCTACAAAGTCAAAGCTGGTCAAAGCTCGCCCTATGTAACCTCCTCCTCCTTTTTTCTATCGTGCAGCCTGGCAGCTTCCAAAGAAGCCGAAGCAGCCGCCCGCTCTGCTCCCAAACCCATGTCCCCTTCGGACTTCCTGGACAAGCTGATGGGGAGAACTTCAGGCTACGATGCCAGAATCAGACCCAACTTCAAAGGTAAGCAAAACCCTGCCCATTTGGGTTCGGTTATTGGGCAACGGTTGCAATTACCGCTCCCCGGAGGTCTTCCTGGATGCAAATGAAATGTGCCTGCTTTATATTTATAAAGCACCTTCCTTCCTGTGGGATCCCACAGGTCCTGCGCTCCCTTCTTATGCAGAAATGTATAACTGTGTATAGAGTCCACTTGCCGACTACTCGAGCACAGCTGCCTTAAAGGGCGCAACCCAGTGGCTTTTTAGCAAGACCCAGTCACTGGTACAAAGCAAGGATGAAAATTGCATTGAATACATTGCAAAGGGGGCTGGGGTGGGCACACTGTAGCTGCCCAGCCGCAAGGTTTGCAACAAGCCTGTCCTTTCCCCGTTGCCTATTGAGAGGAAACCCATGTAGGCCTGGGCTAGATGGAACAGGGTTTTGAACTGGAAAAGGGATCTCTGTAAGGAAAAGGCTATGAACCACGGCTCTGAATAATATATTTGGATTATACCTGGTTATTTCACATCCGTGCATTCACTATTCATGACACATTGAAAGTAGGAGTTAAGCCACTCACCCAAAAATAAATATGAAATGAAGCCTTTAGCACACATTATAGCAAGTATATCCCAGCTGCCACACACTACAGGAAAATTACTTAAGGAACGGTTTGTTTTCCATAGTTTTTAAAAAGTCACATGCACTAAAAACCATTCTGATGAGAAGACACAGCATGAAGGGAAGGCAGGAAGAATGGGTACGATTTCATCTAGGAAAGAGAAGACCGAACAGGGACTAGCAAGCCGTCTTCAAATACAAATAAGGGTGTTATGAAGAGGCTAGCAATCAATTACTGCCGGCATCCACAGGGGACAGGCCAAGTAGCAATGGGCTTAAATTGCCATGTGAGAGATTTAGGTGGGATATTAGGAAGAGATTTCCAATGATGAGGGTGGCTAAGCCCTGGAACGGATTATGCAGAGGGGTTGTGGGATCTCTGGCACCGGAGGTGTTTCAGTGAGTGTTGGACAGACATTTAGACTAGCTCAGCCCTCACGATCCCTCCCAGCCTTGTTTTTCCAGCCTTTCATATGCCTCCTTCACCGTGAAATGAAGACACAAATGAAGTGAACAAGAATCAGGAAGAGTCAAACTTTCCCACACATCAGTACTTTGCAGCTCAAACTCCAGAGCCCGATGGAGTCAAGTGTGACTGTTACGTTTGCTGGGAAACTCCCTTTCCAATGGGACAAAGTCCCACCTCTAGCTCTGCAGACACCTGAGGTTACAGACTTCAAGTCATGATTTATGACTTTATTATATAGAGAATGTATGACTATAGACTATGTGACTATTCTTTATTATATAGAGAATGTATGACTACATTCTCTATATAATAAAGTTTTTATATAGAGAAAAGCCAGCCACGACGCAAGACGAGTCTACCGGTCCTGGCTCTCAAGTCAGGGGATCTGTCTATTTGGAAGGGGTAATGTTGTCTGCAAAGAGAAAAAGAATTTAGTAGCAGGAAATTTAAGGCAACTCTTGCAAAGAATTAGGAAAAACAGAATAACTCCCAGAGCTGCCCGCCTGTCCCAAAGGCACCGGACAGCACGAATGCACGCATGTTCTCACGAATGGGTCTCTGAAATCTCCAGCTGCTCTATGGGGTCAGTATCCGAGTTGCCCCTCAACAGGTGAAGCCAGTCCCTTCCTTCCAACACGCTCGCCCACGGACGGATGCGTTCAGGGTGGAATCAGATGGAGGAGTGCCACCTATTGCCCATGATAAGTGCTGTTGCTTGGAGCTGGTACATACAACACAGGAGGGTTGGGATACAGCGCTGAAGCCAATACCCTGGAGGCAGTGAAGCGGTGTTTGATTTAAGATCACATCTTCCCGCACGGCGGATTTGTTCCTTTCATTCACGCTTCCTTTCAAGCTCCGCTCTCGCTCCCTGCCTGACATCAGAGGCATCATTGCTGTGCAAATGGATTGTGATGGCCCAGAGCATGGCGACTTCAGGTCGGGAAGGAGAGCTGGGCTGGCTCTCATGGAAATCAAAGCCCTTCACACTGCTCTGGCAGTGCGACGGTGGAGCCTGCCCTGCGCCTGCGCTGCCTTCGAAGAGAACCAGCTCCTAAGTGCCATCTAGAAGAGATATCTTCCAAGTTACACGGGTGTAGGTTGCAGCCCTGTTGGTCTAAGGACATGGGCAGAAAACGTTCTTTGAGTAAATCCGATATCTTTTATTAGATCAAGTCAAATTTGCAACACATTTGCAACTCAAATTTGACTTGATCTAATAAAAGATATCACATTTACCCGAAGAACTTTGTCCATCTAAACAAAAAAAAAAAATCTTGCTTTCAAGCAACACTCTTCCCACCTAGCATCGTGACTCTAGCAAGCTCCTCTGAGCAGCCACGCAGGCTTGGGCCTCCAGATGCCAGCTGTGCTAGATGCTCACATCTGGCCACAGCTGCTGCCGCACCCCTGAGGCCCTTTTGTAATGCGACCTGACAAGTTGCAAATGGCACAGTGTTTTTTATCCGCATCCTGCAGCGAGAGCGAGTCAACTCTGGTATCACAAAATACCTGCTCCTGACTGGCTGGCTGCTGTGTTGAAACCCACGGAGGCTTCCCTCGCACGGGCCTCATACTGAGTACTTCTGCTGCTATTCAGATACATTGCAGTTTCTCGACGGCAGGACTCATCGTCTCCTGGCATGCTGCAGACTCTTCACCCGGCCTCCACCTGTCCCTACTAATAACAAAAGTGTTCAAAAGTGTCTCCCAGTTGCTGGCTACCCAAAGCTGGCTCTTAGGATGAGTTAGACACCAAGAATAACTCAGACAAAGTGTTTCTCAAGCCAGGGACCAAAGGAAAAACTACTGGATAGATGGACCCCGCTCGTCCAGAAGGCAAAAACTGGGAACTGGAGGGAGGAAGGAAGGAAGGAAAGAGCCATCCAACTGACCCACTGGTCCCCTCGCACTCCTTTGCTGAAACCCAAGCTCATCAAGTCCAGTGGTCATTAAGGACCCACCAAAGCCTTGGGCACCCACTCACTGGGTGCAGGGCTTAGTCCTTCATGGTGTATCCCCACATGTTGGTGCACAAAGCCATGCAGGTCGCATTTCATACCCACTCCGCATCAGGGCAACCGACCACATCGAGCAGGTCAAAGGCGAATCAACCCCTAAGCAATGGCATTCGTTAGACGCCTGTTCTTCTAATGCACTCTTCCAATGCAGGCCATTTTTCATTTTTGAAGCCTCTTTTGGCCCGTGCTTTGTCCTCGACTGCTTCTCAAGATAAACCGGGCCCTACAATCTCACCCGGTGTTGCCCACTGTTGTTAGCTCCTAATTTCTGTGCCTCGTTTTGTTTCTTACCTTCAGCTTCCCCTCCTCCATCCCCCCAGGAATAATTGGGCTATGATAATGCAAAACTCTTAGGAGCAATTCATCATTGCAACAGCTCCTGCAGTCCATTGGCAGGCAGTAGGCTCTGTCCCTGATTTTCCCAACGTTAAGAGAATCCTCCCAGAAACCAACAAAAAAAGGGAAGGCACGCAGGGTTAAAAAATGCACCATTGCAATTGCTTGTCGCCATTGTGTGCGTGCACACACAAGAAATTAAACTTTAATATTTAATGAAATATATACACTATCCTTCTGCTGAAGGCAGCTGGATTGTAATTTTATTCGAGATAATTTAATTTCAGATTTATTTCAATGAACTCCACCTTCCCCGTGGGGGCAGTTCGCTGGCTTGCTCTCCCACACATAAATCAGGATCCAATTTATATGGAAGTCACAGACGCAGCTTTGCAGAGCTTGGGGTTGTAGCTCTCCAAGCACGTCATTTAAATTAACTGGCAGTAACTCATCAAGGCACTTTAATGGGTTAGATCTAAATGAAAAAGTAGAGCAAGACTGTGCTGGATCAATGTGGGGGGCTGAGATTAGAAAAGGGAGGGACATTTATGGGACAGCCATCTTCTTGAGAATAAGAGGCATCCTCGGTGTTTGGGTAGGATTTAGCAAGGGAAATTAGCACTCGGGAAGGTGAGAGTGAACATGCTGGTAGGGGCGCTATAGGCTTCCCTCCCCGCTACACCCATGCTTTGGTATTGAATTGCACTATCTTCCCCTGGTAGGAGACAACCCGATCCCTGTACAGCTGTGTTTCACTCCAGAGGTGGCTGCATTACTGTGGTCGGTACAGGGCATTTCTAGCTATCCAGATAAAGACTGGGTTTTTAGAGGAGCAGAGTGCTCACAGCGGCCACCGACTGCAAGCAGAGATGCAGGCATTTAGCACCTCGACAAGTCAAGCCTGCTGCTGGCAAAATCCTGCTCGGGTCCATCAAGGAGATACTGCCTGCTAGGTTAAAAGTGCCAAGTCAATGAGCAACTCCACCTGCGGTGACAAAACAGCTGCAATATTTCGCATACGCCAGGGGTGCATATGGCACCTTCGCTAGGTTATAACGCAGCATCCGTGCAATCAGCACGCATGCCCCTCTGGGCTGAAAGGCTACAGACACCTATTGATTATTGCTAATGACATAACGTAGCCTACTGTTTTACCAGCATGGTTCCTGGACCTCTCCTGCTCGCCTCCCCCAAACACACACGGCTTCCAGGTAGTTGCCCCCAAACTCTGATTCAAGAAGTCAGTCATTCTCTTCTCCACCCAAAAGACTAATCACAGAAGGAACCAGTGGGTGCCAGCTGCATTTCTATCAATTAGAGTAACCACAACACAAAAATACATCAGTCCTCCTCCCCATCTGATATCCTAACCTATACCTATGTTTAATGAGCCTGGCTACTGAAACCTGTGGATCAACCAGCGTGAGAACTAATTTTCGCAGTAAAAAAATCCAGACAAGCCCTGCTGCATGCAGCCCTTTCTCAGAGTGCGCCATTGCTAGCTAGCTGCAAAGTTACTCACATCTTCTACTAGGTACAAGGCTTAAAAAGGAGGGACACATGAAAAAAAAAAAAAAAAAAAACCCACAAAACAGGCTTTGAATGTAACATTTGCAATCAAGAAATTCCATTAATTTCTACCGAGGAGGAAATGTACATTGATTACAGACCAGAAGAGTCTTGTTAAAAAAAATCACTGGACCAAAAATGAGCAAGTATTTCATCTTTGTGCAGCTGCGAGCTTGCAGATGTGGCCTCTGATGTCAAGTCCCTGAAGTATATCAAGTCTAAGCCGTCGGGCAGCACGTGAAATACTGATGTACAGCAGAGAGGCATGTGGTAGAAACAAGATCATTTCTGACCACTAAACTCATCTTTAGATCCTTTTTTTTTTTTTTTTTGGGAAGAATGTCCCGGATGAAGCTGTTCCAGAGACTGAAATTTGGAGCACCTAGAACGACAGATGTTCGGCGTCCGCGAATGAGTGTTTACTGAGCATTGGGAAGGAGAGGGAAGAAGTAGTTCATGCTCCAAGGATCTTACAATCTAAATGAGGCAAACAATAGAGTGAAAGCACCCAGGAGCCCCGGGCGCCAGGCAGGAGGCCAAGCTGGGAGAGGCGGAGTGGGTATGCATGAGTGCTCCTTTATCTGGATGGAGAAGGATTGGCTGGGCAGAAAAGCCAGCTCGGGGCTGACGGAGCTGAATGGAAGGGATGGGCATTGTCATTCGGAAGGGAGTTTAGGGACCAAGGCCTTGCAGCGGGTGCAGACAACACCCACCCTTGGCAAACCCCCAGTGCATGCACGCACGCATCCACATGCTTCTGGCAGCTCCCCACAGCTCCATCCCGGTGCACGCTGGGATGGCGCCAGCTGCTGAATGGGTGGTGGCAGCTGGACTAAAGCATGGGACGAGCTGCAGCCCGCTGCCGGACGGCAACAAAACCCTTGCTCCACTTCACCATGTTGGAACAACTCAGCTGGCAGAGGTGGAGGGCTCCGCTGCCTCGGACCTCAGGCGAGTCAGCAAAGCACCCCGTGCCTCAGTCTTCCCATCTGTCAAGTGGAGCCAAAAGCACCTCCTTTCTCCAACCCGCCACATGCCTCAGCTATTTTGATGGGAAAGACCCCAACTGAGATGAGCTTGGGTGCTCTTGTACTCGACCACGACCACACCAATTCCACACCCAGCGCTAAGGGATCCCCAGTCACTGGGTATACTGGAGACCAAAATCTAGAGCAAGCTGTGGGATAGCTGTGGGAGTCTTTCGATGCATTGGAAAAACAGCAAGTTATTACTCTTTTTTTTTTTTAAAGCATGCAATAGGTTTATTCATTAACGCATGGCTTTTTGAAACACGTTCTGAATTTTTCTACTTGGGTTTGGTTTGGGGTCTTTTCTGGAGAGCTTGGTTTTGGCACATTGTTTTAGCAAACTTATTATTTTTAATTAGGAAACCGGTGAATGGAATTTCTCTTGCGAAGACTGAGTGTTTCTAAACAGCTATAAATACAGGAACGACGCAGCGTGTTCAAAAACTACGATTAGGTTCTTGCTGGGTTCTTAATTATCTGCCTTTTGGGGTCAGAGTGTCAGACTATTGTTCGCAGTCAGAGGTGCAAGAAACCCCCTTTTTTTTTTTTAAAAAAAAAAAGGGGAAGCTGAAATTCTGCCATGGTCACAGGACTCCAGAAGATGGAGCTTTCAGGGGGGAAAAACCCCCCCGAGATCTCACAAAATCCAAACGGATGCATGTGGCTGAGCAGTGGATCTATGCTTCGGTCACTTGACGGGGCCATCGTTAGTGCAGAGATGGCCAAGAGGTCTAGACACGGCAACCAGCAGCTCCGTGTAGGCAGATTGACTCTGATGAGAAGCTGAGCAAATCATCCAGCCCAGAGCTCCTGGAGGCTGCAGCCAGCGATGCTGAGGGATCTCCGCACTAGGCTGCAGTCACAGGAGTTGGCTGCAGAAATGACTGCAGTATGGACAAGGCAGGCCAGCTGCAGGGTCCAGACAGCTCCGATGGAAGCGACAGGGGATGCAGAATCGGAGAGAGGAAAGAAACGTTCCCTCCAAAGACTTGGAAGAGGCAGGAGTAAACTCAAGGCATCCAGAGACATCAGGGGAAGCCCTCAGCGGGTCCTTTTCTGGCTGCTGAAGGGTCCAGACAGCCCTCTTCGGTCCCCACCCCAGCTGTTCCCCATGTGCTGTTTCTCTGCTGGAGCAGTAAAGGTGAAAAGGCTCCCCTCCCCTCACCCCCACGTACATGCTGCGTCAGCCCTCACTTGGCCCCGGCTCCATTGTCCCTATTGAGTTGTGCAGCCCCACTTGGGCCATGCACAAAGCCCTGCTCGTGCAAAGGGGGTTTGCTGACTCGGCTAATCCCCTAATCCGCCAAAGGTAAAACGGTCAGGTAATAACAGGCACGAAACAAAGGGGAGAGGGAACAAAGTGCTGGGCGGCCCGTTTCTGATGACTCCAGTATAGCTGCAGAGAGTCGGGATTCCAGCTCTAATCCTCCCCTCCTGGTCCAACAGGCCCTCCCGCTGCGCCCGGAGCGGTTGGCCTCTGCCTCTGCTTAAAGGGGCAAACTGAGCTTTCCAGCCTAGCAGGGCTGTTGCAAAAAGGCTGCAAGAGCAGTCAGAGGCTCGGTTGGTGGAAACGGATGGAGCGGTGCCAGTCTCCATCAGCGGAGGGGCTGACTTTATTGAGAGTTAGGCACGGCCCCAAAATGTGATCTCAAACTAGAGAGGTACACGGGGAGGAAAGAAACTGTAGCCCGCTTTATCCCTCTGAGTGCAAGCAATGACTAGGACTTCTCCCGGGGGTGAAGGCAACAGGTAAAAGGAAGTCTACAGGTCCTGAACCCTGTGCTTACCCCTTACTCAGCCTTTATTTTCCATCACCTGGTGCTGAGCTGCAGGCCCTGGCACCTTCCCGATTCCATCCCTGCACAGCCTCAAGCCAATCAGCACCACCAGCACGCGCCACTGGTGCACGGCTGCACCACCGGCACGCGCCACTGGTGCACGGCTGCACCACCGGCACGCGCCACTGGTGCACGGCTGCACCAACACGGGTTTGCCGCCAGCATGGCATGAAGGGCCGCAAACCATGACGAACCCTCTCACAACACCGTGACACCACCCTGGTTTCTCCTTCAGTCTCCAGCCCCTTCCACCCATGCAAACTGTCGCCCACCCTGAGGCTTGCAAGATATGGTCAGCTGCCCGCACGTGTGTAAGACTAGCAGATGCGTGCTCTGGAACACGGATGAGAAGCACACGTCAGATCCAGACCCCGTAGCAAGTGCCAAGGAAGCTTTAAAGCCTCCCTGGTTGCAATGAGTGAAGGAAGGAGACTTCCTCAGAGAACGTCTCTCGCTCAATATTAGAGTCTTAGCAATTAAAACCAGCCTCCTGTCATCCTCAGGGAGCAGTTTCCTGAGGACTCACTGAGCAAAGACCTCAGGATCTGACCTCCTAGAATAGAGTCAAGTGCCGAATATGATCATGGGGATATATGCAGATCCCTTGTAGATGGTCAGATATCCATGGGAAAGAGGAGGGGCTACAGCCTGCATAGTCCACTCATCCACCATGCCAACAGCAGCTAGTTCTTACACAGAAGTGCTCAATGAAGCGCTTTCCAAGCAAGGGCAGTATCATTACCCATTCTGCAGTTGGGGAAACTGAGGCACAAGGTGGAAGCATGATGTGCCTATGGTCACCCAGATGGGAAGTGGCAGAGCCAGGAATAAACCCCGCGAGGCCACGAGTTCCCGCAGCAAGGCTGAGCGACCTCCCTCCAGAGCCATGTTACTGATACAGTCTTATTTTGTCGTGCAGGCCCCGCAGTAAACGTCAGCTGCAACATTTTCATCAACAGCTTTGGTTCGATTGCCGAAACGACGATGGTAAGTAAATGCAGCATTCCTGGCTTTTATTATGCTAAAGTAGACTGTTGCTCTCTTTTCCTGGGGTAGACCTCAGGTGGGAATAAATTTATAGCTCCAACTTACAAACCTTGACGCATTTCACTGTTCAAAGACTATGATCCTGCATGTGTCTGCACATAAAAATAGATTTTAGGAGCTGATGTTCCCAATTGTAGAATACACGGAGCTGAGGGCAGAAGTAAAACGTGCTCCATTTACCTCTTGCTTAAGGTCTGACTAAGGCCCAAAGTTCAGAGATGCATCCAAACTTTCAAGGGTGTTTAGGGGTGGGATTTTCAAATGAGCCCATTGTAGAGTAAAGGGATCAGAGTTAAGTACAGATCCAGTTTGCACCCTGAGGCTGGGGAAGGGCTTCAGACCTGGATTCTCTTTGGAGCCTGAATCTCCAGGGGGAAACTGAACATTCACGGGATCAAAACCAACATACGCAGCACAGGCCATCTTCGTCAGGAAATTAATGAACATTGCTAATAGCTGCATCTAATTTGTAAGGGGCTAGGAGGTGTCCACTGTAAGGAAAAGGAGATAATAGTTGTCAGATGGAGCAATGAAAGGTCAATTGTGATATAATCAGCAAAAAGCAACCCAAGGCTCTGTAGGTACAATGCCTTCCCGATGCATTAATTAAAGATCATCCAGAAACATCTGCAGAGGCTTCCTCAGCCTGACAAAGGGTTTTTAAACCTGAAAGCTTGCCAAAAACATGTTTTCCAACTATTTAAGTTGGTCTAATAATAGATATCAGATTCACCCAAAGAACCTTGTCCATCCAGAAATATGAGGTTCAACTGTTTTTGTAATGGTCTCTCTGGAAAGATGTGGAAAGTAATGTGCATAAATGCAACTCCGGTACTTTGTCCTACGCATTCAGAACAGGATTCGATAAATACTTCAGGAAATCAAGTCCTCAGCTGCATGGCAGGACAGAGCAAAGCCCAGAAATACCTGCTGCTGTATCGTGATGTTTCTAAACCCCTTGCATGTTTGCAGTCATTTGCAGGTAGAGCAGAATAAATGGCAACTGCATTGAATTTTGTGTTTGTTCATGAACTGGAGTGTGGGACCCTTATGAACACGTGGCCTCAATGCAGAGCATCACTAGGTGCTGCGTGCAATCAGGAATTCATTAAATAGACCCTCCTCTTAAAAAGTATTAGACTGCCTGGGAGATGGGGCTGGTCTATTGATCTCTCTGTGTGTTATAGAGAAAGATGATATTATATAGCTGGTCTATATTGCTTCCGAAGGCATATCATAAAACCATACATTAAAATGCAAAGGCAGAAATCCCAAATGAACTGGGCTGACAGAAACAAGCACATCTTAAGCTAGCCTGACAAGGAGAAACACGTGGCAGACTTCAGAAGCATACTGCAGGGATTAGCTATATTTTGCAAGACACATCATCTTGGATTCTCCCCGTCCGAAAAAAGGATTCCCATTCCCGCTTGGAAAGAACTGTATTTTTTTCTGCGAGTGCCTATGTGAGCGAAGGCAGCAGATGTCAATTCTGCTTCAACAGACGCTGCGAAACAAAAGCACAGGTCTTGGGAGCAGCCACTGGGACTCACCAGTGCCCTGGCATTTTGGATTGAGTGCTGAAAAGCTGACCACCTAGCAACTGTTTACAGCAATGTGACAGAAGAGCCAGCCTGAATGAAGGAGAGGCAATGTCAAGAGGTTGTAGCTTAGCTTTGCGGCAAAATCGGAATGAAAAATGAAAAAGAAATTCAAAAATCCCTGCAGAGAAAAAATTGGGGGTGGTGGGTGGGGGGGAAATGGTCTCAGGTCAGCTGAAGCATTTTTGTTCCAGGGTCCACTTTTTGAAATGATGATGCCAAAAATACAATGATTCAGGCTGAAACATCCTGTTGGAATACCTTCCCCCCCCTTATTCTCTTCCAAGATATTGTTCCAGTGAAAGCAACCCAGTTTGGGGAAGCATTTCAGGTTTAACAGACCCTTATATTTCAGTGGAAGATTGCTGCACCGAGGTTTCACAAACCAGCTGGATTCAAAACAACTACAAGAAACTTGCTCTCTCTACAGTAAGTAGAAGAACCAGGCTTACAACTCAAGATGCACGACTCGCTTGCAAAGCAGCAGTGCAGAGTACACGACTCTCTCGTGTCTCCAGAGGCTGGTCATGTATAAGGCTGGCATCAGCTATTGCTGGAGCGGATGACATTTTTCTATTTTAATGTAACAACATATTCAACTTTAATAAAATGAATTTTCCAAGAAAATATTTCCTTTCAGTTCAATCCCAGTTTTCAGTGGAACAAAAAAAGAAAGGTACCAGACCAAGCAACTGCTCCCAGTTAGTGGACTTTTAGTGGAAAAGCAGAAGCACAAACTTTCAGCCTTGAAGGTCATGGATTTAAATAGCAGAAACAGAATTAGTTAGGGTAACATCATCGAGTTTACTTCACTGGCCCAAAGAGGAAGTACGTGGTTCAAGAGCTGCTGCGGCTCAAGTCTGGTCTTCAGACTACAGCAGGCCCCAGATTCATACACTTCAAATGCTCCATTTCTACACCACATTGTACAAAGCAGCTCCCTAGCACCCGAATCATAGGTCTTTCCATTGCTGCATGTATTTTTATATATAAATATACTTGCATTGGGACTCTTAGTTGATGTACAAGACATGGCTGTTGACTTACAAAGAGTCTGGTGCGGGGCCAATAAGACCATCGATGGAGGAATACTTCATAGCTTGGGGCTCCATAGCATCAGGAAGAAAACAAGAGCACGAGAAATAAAGAAGTTGGGAAACTTGAGTTCACATCCATTAAGGAACAGGTGGTGAGGGGAGAAAAAGATGGGAGCCATCCATGGGAATCTGTAGGAGCTCCCAAAAGCAAGCAAGGCAAAGAGTGAAGAACTGCAAGATTTAGAAGAAAGCAAGGAGGGAAAATTCACACGTGAAATGAGCTCCCATAGGCAGGGCCAGGGAAGAGGCAGTCCTTCAAGATCAGCAGATGCCAAGAGCTCTCACTGCAGCATGGGACCAAAAATGAAGGCAACACGGGCCTGGACCGGGTCCGAGATGAGCAGGACAGGTCAAGGCTCTTATGGCTTTATCCAGCCCAAAGATAAGAAAAGAAGCCGCTACCAGGAACGTATTCAGGGTCAAACAAGCACTTAAAAGTCAAGAAACATTAGAGGGCACAAAGAGCAGGACAGATGGATGGATGAGCCTAGCTGGCCTCTTTCTGTCCTGAAATATTACTATGGTAATACATTCAACAGCAGGTGGGTTCCATATTTAACATAAATATGAGAAGCATCCTTTCCTGCAGCTGATTTTATTAGCAACTCGGGCAGTTCTCTTTTGGCTTCCACACCGAGGAACAGAAATAAGAAGTTTCAAATCTCTCGTACAAACTAAAAATAGCAGCTGAAATCCATGGGTGCCGGGTCTCTCTACGGAGGTGGAGCGGGTTTACCAGCAGGTAATAAATGAGAATTGAAAAGGAAGATCACGTGCTGACATTTTGGGATTCTAATGCTCAGTAGTGCTTTTTTGCATACGTATATTTGTCAGCTGCTTAAACGGCATTTCATACTGAATTCATCCCATTTGAAAAGGGCAAGCCGAACGTGACCTTATAAACCAGCTGCAACACAACCACACTCGCCGAACAAGTATCTAATAAGGACACGAGAAGCTGGAGGCTCTATCTGTCCAACTGTAAAATACTCGTTTGGAGCCATCTGTACATAAGCCATCCAATCAGATAATGAATCCCGCCTGGAAATGGACTTCCAACAACCCGCTAAACCTCACGAGCTCCAACCCAGCAAGAATCAAACAGCTGATAAAACCTAGCAGGGAAAATATGGCTCTTGAGCCTGTCCTTCATCCAAAGCCGAGTCACATGAGGAACTGCAAGCAGGACGGGGAGGGAAACAGAAAAGACGTTTTTTTACTCGGCTTCTCAGTGTTTGCTGTTTCGAAGCCTGTAACATTTTGCAATTTGCAAAAAAAAACCCTGAAATGGGACTTTCGATGCAAAGTACATGAACAATCTAAAAAAAAAAAAAAAAGGCAAAATGCAAGTATGCCTTTGGACGACACTTTTAAATTCTAATTTGGAAATAAAAAAATAATATCAAGACAGGCAAATTTCTCATTTGGAACACAGTACCATTTCTGATTGGCTGGGGAAGGGAAAGTCAAAGGGTTTAATTTACCTTATATCCTACCGTGATGTGCAAAGCACCCACATGCCAATGGTCACCCAATTTCCCCGTGAATATTTTGTTCAACTAGACGTACGAGGTGGAGTGACCAGTGTAGAGATATCTCTTCGAATAATACTCTGCATTCTTCCCCCCTGAAGTTTCAGTTAATTTTTCTCTTCGGGAACATCTGTTCAGCTCTGTATGTATGCAGGGGGTTTCCCCCGGCAAGATATTACACCGTTCTGCAGCAGGGGTTTTACTAGAAGAATAATTTGCTAATGTTGCTTAAAGAACAAAGAAGCCCTCCCAGACACACGTGAAACGGTGCTGAGGTCTTCCTGTGACCTCTTCAGCAGTGCCGAAACACTTTCCCCTTCCCTGCGCTTGCAAAACCGCCCATGCTTCCACCTAGCTTTGGACTCACCAGCTCCAACACCGCTCCCTCACCCCTCAATTACAATAGGATGAGACTAATGCTGTGCAACCTGCAGTGGCATTCAGGCCCTGCATGGCCTCCATGCATTCCCTCTCCTCTGACGTGGTGAACTGCTATGTGAAACCTCGATAGCTTGCAATGGAGGAAAAGGCCATCAGTGCTGGCTGTAGGATGGGAGACCCCACAACATCACCCTAGGTCCAGGCATTGCAAGTCCTGGGAGTTTCCAGTTCCAGGAAGAGCAAGTGCCAGGGTAAGGTAGCCCCAGGATCTCCTCTGGGTCCCAGCCAGGGTTTAGCAGCAGGAAGGGGCATTTTTTCCTCTCCCTCCCCCTTGCCCTGGGCTGTCCTACCTTCCCCGCAGGGGTGGTCTCAATCCTTGCATAGCTGCTCTCGGCCTCTGTCTCCAAAGCCTCTCCCAACCCCGCCAGGGCTCTACCTACCTGCTGCCTAACCTGCACTCATTCACAGCACCTGCTTCCTCCTGGAGGGCTTGCACACAGCTGGGGAAGGTAATAAGGCCTTACATTAACCCTCTCCAGGTCATCACCCTGCTGGGTGTAGATACCCCATCACTGGGAAGCAGAGCAGAGCAAAGTTAAGCCTCTCCTCCCATTCTCCCAGCAAATGTGACGGACCTGGGTAAAGCACCGGATTCACTACCCATGGCCTCCATTGCTTTCCTACACCAAGACAGGCGGTCAACAATGCACCTGCAGCATTCAAGAGAAGCACCCTTCAGTCCCATGCACCATCCTCAAACTGCAAACAAAGCTTCTAGGTCTTCTTCTTTCCATGGAATAAACAAGGAGTCAAATAAAGACCTATTTTTGGTAAACCGAACAGTTTTTAAGCTGGCTCGAGTGCAGTCCTCCTCCACACGGACCTCTCCTTTCCTCTTCCTCCCCTCATAGAGATGTCAGCAGGGCTTTGTATATTCTCCTCGGTCATTTATTCTCTGGCTGCCTGGGCCTCCCGGACCCAGAAAAGACAGATCACATATGCCACTGTGCTACTCAGGCTTACCAGGGGGCAAACTTCAGACCCTTGTAGTTAAATAAGGATGCTTGAAGCTGAGAGCAGCCCCTAGTCATGACTTGAAAATTATAGTCCCCTCCCTGGTGAGAGGATAAATGGTGGCTGTGGGTCATTACCTGCCTGTCCACATTAGCTCTGAGGTCCTTTGTCAGCCTCTGATTTTCCTAAGCTCGCTGTAGAGCAAGTCAAAGTCTTTTGCGAGTGTTGCAAACCTCCTGATCCAACTGCAATCTTCACTCAGGCCAGGACATGGGAAACAGATGTCTTTAGAGAGACGATCTTGTCAGTGGATGAATCAATTCCCATCCTCCTTGCCCTCAGCAGCATTCACCATGAGATGCGGTGGAGGGCCAGTACCAATGGGAAAATGAACCTGCATCGCTTCTGGAGTGCGGTGCTTTCTGGGAATGGTAGAGGATGCTGCAGGCCATCGCTTCAGCCATGCTGGGTACCCCAGACACATCGCTCTTCATTGGCTTCCCAAAAACCCTGAACAACCTCAAGATCTCAGTCCTGATTTTAAAGGCTTTTGAAAGACCACCCCGGCTCCCTCAAGACCACCTACCTGCTCAGACTGAAGACTATGTTCAGGCACAAGGGCCTTTTCACAATAAGGACAAGGAGACAATCTCCACAAAGGTTGTGTTATCAGCTCTCCCAGGAGCTCAGGACCATTGCAAACCTCCTCAGCTGTGAGGCACATTTTTTGGCCTTGGCTTCTCCAGTATCACGCTAGAGGGAGGTGTGTGCGCCCTGATATGCAGAACCCCTCCCAAAACACTCCCCTGCATACGGTTTGGGGTGAGGAAGAAGGGAAACAATCATGCAATAGATGTTTGTCGCATTGCTGAATGCATGGCTGGAAGCCGCGCAGACACGGTGGTGATGAGCACAATGTAAGACCCTAATCAGGAGGGAGCACAGCAGGGGGATCATGCAAACTCTTGGGGTGGTGTGAGCTCTGCATGTCCTGTCCAAAGCGCATTATGTTCCATGAGACAAAATTCATCCTCATTTGACCCTTGGTCAGGGTCTCACACGGGGAAGGACAGTGCTGCCCACCCCCATCTGCTCCTCCTCTGCCAAAGCTGCGATGGCAGACCTGCTCCCACCCGGCTCTTTCCTCCCGTTTCCTTTCTAGCTGGCAATTCTTGCAGCCGAAGCCAGGGATTTACTCCTGATTTTGAGTAACACAAGCCCCCGTGGTGGAAATCAGTTCCTTTTCTACCCTCGCTACGTGCCGTCAGGCTGAGCGCGCTCTGGGCAGCGACCGCTGAAGTTTCTTCCAAACATGGATTTGATTTGTGTCGTACATGAAACGAACGCCTAGATGGAGCTGACCTGCTCGTGTTCAGCTGCTTTGCAGCTGAATAAGCAAAACAGCTTTTTGCTTTCTGCCTATTAGGACAATTACATTGATTTCCCCTGACTGCAACCACCACTGATCTTTACAAACAGGGAGAGAAAGAAATCAATGCATGCAGCGTGTTCAGGTAGTGGCTGGGTGCCGTGGAAAGGGCTGTTTGCACGCTCTCTCCTTTTCATCTCTCCCTCTTTCTTTTTCTCCTTGCAAATCTGTATGATGGGTTAGTCCTGCGCAGGGGCCCTCATTATTAGACGTCCACAGTTATTCAGTTTTCTAAAGACGTGTTACCTTGGGGAGAGAGAGGTGGATAATGAAGCGAGAAAGATCCACTAGTGCCTGTGAAGGTGACATTTGGATCTCAGCAGAAGGAGAGGGCGGGGGAAAGGAGCCGGGTTTGGGGGTTTTTTCCACGCTCTAAAGTCCATTTCCTTTAACTTCAAGTCGTTGGTCCATTTGCTGTTGTCAAAATTATTAAGGTCACTCACAGCTCCTAGGCTCAGATGCTGAGGATGGGATTTAGCGCCTTAAAACTGATTTCTAGGAGACGTTATGTAATGGACTGTCCTCACCAAAAGTGCAGGGCACCCAAAACACGATCGGCTAACCCTGCTTCTGCAAGTCGGGGCTTGCACGGTGGTGGAAGCCAGTTTCCCCACCCCGATTTGGTTCGTTTCATCTTGTCTCTGGGACAAGAGGTCGTATATTGGGATTTCGATTGGCACGGGAGCTCACGCAGCGCTGCAGGCTGGGATGTCTCATGGGCAGATGCTGCGCTGCTAGTGCCACCCTGGTCTCCTCATCCTGGTACGCTGCAGTGGGAACTGACAGTCAGTCCTGATGGGAGAGTCAGGAATAACCCAGCAGATCATTGTGTCGCGGAAAGGAAACAAACCAACCAGACCCTAAATCATCCACGTTGTGCCTTCAATACTGATGAGCGCAGAACGGCTGCCGCACACAGTCAGTTCATTGCCAGCGTCTGACTCACTGCTTCATAAAACGCTTCAGGCTAGCTCAAGAAGGAGAGACACTAAATAAAACCATGACCCTGGTACTAACAATTAACTTGGTCAAGGGCAGTGAAATTGGTTTATGACATGATGCTCTGCCGGCTGCCAAGAGACTTGGACAATGCAAATGAAGTCAGGGACTCAATGCGTCCATCACCCACATGGGAGTCAGTGCTCATTTCTTTCTCCGTCTTTCTCCCATCCTCTCCGTTTTAATTTGGCAGCTGCCTTTCTCATGTGAAAGACTGGGGGGAAAGACTGGGTGGTCAACCAGAAGGAACCAAAAATGTTTTGTATCGTTCAGGAGAACAGCCAATAAATGCGAGGTAGAGCTCAGCAGCCTGCTTTGGTCCAGAAATCCTAAATTCACAGTCAGTGCTAATGGTGGTGATGAAATGATGCAATGGAGCAGGAGCTTTGAGGTTGGTGACGATGAAGTCCATAGGTAAGAAATGTGAGGTCCAGTTGAATCCCCTTCCTACTTGGGGGCCTGGTGTGCTTTCAGAAAGCAAGCAGTTAAAATACTAAATGCAAATTGCCTTTGGTGTCTTCTACCCCCAAATCCTCTGCGAGAGCCATCCTGGAGATACAACTTCAGCCCCTGATCCTCAAGGTCACCGAGCAATATTTGCTCAGCCCCAGAGACCTAGTAGCAGAGGCTCTCACGCAATTTTTTCTCATCAAGCTGTATGCACTTCAGCCAAGGCTTGCTGAGACCTAACACGATGTAGATTTGGGGATCACCGTAATAGGTAGATGTCAAGGACAGCAGCGGTTTGTCCAGTGATCAGTCTCTCAGCTACGAGGCTCGAACTAAAAATAAAAAATACAGTTCCTTGAGATGACACCGATGGGGTATGTCACCGGTTGAGAACACAATGCCAGTCACATCGAAGACACTGTGTGTTGACTTGTTCGGCTGCAGCTGGCCTCAAAATCCCTTTGGCCTGCACTGTTTTCAGCCATTTCGGACTCTTCTGAGCACTCGTTAACTTTGTGTCCTCTCCCCCCAACTCTTGTGCCCTCACTGCAGGACTACCGGGTGAACATTTTCCTGCGGCAGCAGTGGAACGACCCGCGGCTGGCATATAACGAGTACCCTGACGATTCCCTGGACTTGGATCCATCTATGTTGGACTCCATCTGGAAGCCCGACTTGTTCTTTGCCAACGAGAAAGGGGCCCATTTCCATGAGATCACCACGGACAACAAACTCCTCCGAATTTCCAGGAACGGCAACGTCCTCTACAGTATCAGGTGAGGCAAATAAAGGGGAGAGTCTCTGCGGGAAGGGGCAGAAAGGAAGGAAAGAGAATTGGCGGGGAAAAAAAAAATTGGGAAATAAACAGAGAACTAGCAGTCACCCGGGAAGTGAGCTGATTGGAACGTTTTCTTCATCAAAAAACACAGATTCAGCTAACGCAAAACTTTTAGGAGAAAACAATCCCTTTTGGCAAATGTCCTAACTTAGGAAAATGTTTGAAAAAATTGGAAAATGCCAGTTTTCCTGTTGATAATTATGTTGGTGTAAAATATACATTAGTTATGGTAAGAAAAATAAATCAAAGTGTTTCAGAATTATTGGGAAAAAATAGTTTAATTGACTCAAACCATTTTTTTTGTTGTTGTTGTTTTAAATTTTTACTTAATGAATGATTTTGTCTGACTTTGGACGCCGTGAGAAAGTCTGATCTCTCAAATTTTTTGAGGGATGGCAAAACCTTAAAACCCCAGACCTCCCTGGACCCAGAGGCTTAAGTCCCAACAAGGTGACTTGCAGCCCCCATTGAGGTAAAATCCAAAATGACGGCATTAGGATGGCAAGGTGGTGGCAGCAAATGCTGTCCTTTGGCTGCTTATGTCAGATTTTACACTCGGTTTTTAATTGTGTGACTAAACCTGGATGGGATGGGGCTCAATGGTGTGCCATAGGTCTTCTACCCCACTCTCTCTGGTTTCACAGGCCTTGAGAGCCTATAACCCTCCTTAAGTACTTTGGTGTGTTGGAGCAGCTTGCATGTCTGTAACCCCGAGAGTTATTCAGCAGTAGCAAGACACAGCTACAAGTAGGGTCTCCCATGCTGAACAAGTTGAATGGTAGAGACCAGACTAAGAGAAACACCCTGGTCCTCCAAGTTGACACTTGGCCATGAGGTCAACAACCTTATCTCATGAAAAAAGCCAACAGTCTGGAACCAAAACTTCCACCCCAATAGACTTTAAAAAAAAAATAAGTTTAATTAGGCCAAGAGAGATGCCCTCCTGCTCTTAAAGCTCAGGTGCCCATGCTGCAATCGGAGCAGCTGCGGTATCCAGCATCATAACAACGTTATGCTCCCAAACACCCACAGATTAGTTGGAGTGTTTTGCTCCGGGCAGAAATGGCTTTGACTATCACAGAGACCTCAGCTTTCCAAGTCCGAAGGGAAAAGAAAATCAACCATCCGCTCTGAAATGCCTTCCAAAGACATGGGCAAAGTACAGCGAATAAAACTGTTCTCTTCTGGCCTCCTTACAGCCAGGCACGCTCGTTCTCCCCAGGGTGTTCAGGTTTCTGCCCTTTTTGAATGGAGCTCTGTTGACGAAACACCTTATGTAACACTCCTGTCGCATGTGTTTATGTAAATGAATGTTGTGTGCGAGTGCAAGAGCGTGCACACATTAGGAAGGGACCTATATGTTCAAAACCCATCCGCATTCACATGCAAACACACGCAGGCGTGTGCGTAGACCGACTGAGTGAAATCGAACTAGAATTTCAAGGGGCTTTGCCACAGTTGTCAGCTGTAAATATAAGCTAGCAGGAAATCCTCTCTCAGACCAGACGAAGGGCGCTTGAAGACCCCATATCTGTCCCTTAGCCCTCCCAACTATATAAGCTGGTCCAATAAAAGATATTACCCATCCAGCCCCACAAACCTGGATTCCCCCAGGAAAGGTTTCAGTTTCAAAGAAGCCATGTTATCCGACCAAAGAACAGAATTCATACAGACTCCTAGCTTGAACTTGGTGTCTTTTTCTCAGCATTACTCCTCATGACTATTCCTCTGTCATATAATCATAGGACATGAGGGTTGAAGGGACCTCGGGAGGTCACATCTAGTCCAACCCCCTGCTCCAAGCAGGACCAGCCCCAACTGCATCATCCCAGCCAAGGCTTTGTCTACCTGGGTCTTCAACACCTCCAAGGATGGGTAGCCTGGGCCAGTGTTTTGCTACTGCTACTGGGTCCTTGACCATTTCAGTGGATCTGAACCAATTGTGCTGCTCCTGCTTTAACAAACACCGATGGGCACTGGAGGGTGTTTTGTCATTCCCCCATCTCTCTCCTCTTCCCAGGATCACACTAACGCTGGCATGTCCCATGGACCTGAAGAACTTCCCCATGGATGTCCAGACGTGCATCATGCAGCTGGAGAGCTGTGAGTACAGACGGTTTCCCCTCCCGAAAGTGAATCGCCAGCCTCCCTCTGACTGGGTGCAGTCAGGGTCTCCAGGCCAAAGTTGGGGCCCGTTTCCCTCCTTGCCTTCATCTCTCACGCAAGAGCACAGGCACAAACCTGTTGCTCACTACAGACCCCCTCCATCCTCTATTTCTCCTTTCTCTCTACTGATCTCCCTTTTGCCCCTGTACCTAGCAGGAAACCACTTGCAGTTCTCTATTCACCCATTCCCGGTCACAATTCCCAGCTGATCCAGGCACCGTTATGACCACTCCTGCCCACCCAGGTACATAAGTTTCCACGCTCAGGTCTGTCTCGGCAGCACACAAGCCCAAAGCCTATCACAGAGCTTGCAAGAGATTTTTCCAGGCTCCTGCCTTGCACCAGGGCTGCAATACCATCCCTTTCTGGTTTGCATGAGAAAGCTCACGGGTCCCATCCCACCCCTTCTCTCGACAGTTGGCTACACAATGAATGACCTGATATTCGAATGGCAAGAGAAAGGTGCTGTGCAGGTCGCAGACGGCTTAACGTTGCCTCAGTTTATCCTGAAGGAAGAGAAAGACTTGCGGTACTGCACCAAGCATTATAACACAGGTGAGTCATGGGGCACCAGCACCATGCGTTAATAATGACTGTGCTAAGACTAGCAATGCACAGCCTTCCCCCACCACATCTCCCCTGCCCAGGAAGAACCCTTTTTAAGCCAGCAAAGCCAAATTTCAAAGAGCCATTGCGTGCGGATGCTGGGAGACTCCCATGCCCTACCGGAAACTCCTGTCTTTCTCAGGCAAGTTCACCTGCATAGAAGCCCGTTTCCACCTGGAGCGCCAGATGGGCTACTACCTGATCCAGATGTACATCCCCAGCCTGCTGATTGTCATCTTGTCCTGGATCTCCTTCTGGATCAACATGGACGCCGCCCCTGCCCGCGTGGGCCTGGGCATCACCACCGTGCTGACCATGACCACCCAGAGCTCTGGTTCCCGAGCATCGCTGCCCAAGGTATGAAGCTCACCTGTGCCTCATGGGGGAATTGCAGTGACTGGGGAAACTCATTCAAACCTGCTCACTTTGCATTTTGGGCTAGGTCGCACGCACCCATACTACCTATCCGCAGAACTGGCACAAGTGGCTGTCTCTTGGTCGCTCCCAATTCAGGGAACAAGAGAGAGCCATTTGAATTCAAGCAGATTGGCTGTAGCTTATACAAGGAGCATTGCAACCCAGCATCACCACAGCCCAGCAAACATCTCACTCACACCCCCTTATCCCCAATACCCGCTTTCAGATTCACGGTAATCACCTGCATTCCAGGATCAGTATAAAACCTGACCCACTAAGAAGAAAACATCTTTTTCCTATCATTCAGTTTACAGGGGGACAACCCCTGAGCCAAGCACAACTCTGGACTGCCGGGGCCCTGCACACAAAGCATTGTGTTTGCAGGCTAGTGACATTAAATAATATTCCCTACATTTGAAAAGAAAGCAGGAATTTACGACTGTGGATCTAGACTTTTGAGAAGACTTTCTAGACTTTTGAAATGTCCCCTGTATTTGAAAAGAAAGCAGGAATTTACGATTGTGAATCTAGACTTTTGGAAAGGGGGGTGCAGATGCGGCGGTGCATCGTCACGTATAAAAAACAGCATCTATTTTTCTCCAGTTGAAAAGAAACTAGAAGCTGTACTAATAGGGCAGAGACTGAGGGCTGGATGATTCGGTGTAAGACTGAAGCAAAAAAACAAGGATAACTTCATTGAAGTGAGTTAAAAGCCATCTGCAGGGTTGTGAAATAGGAGCTTCATTACCAGGAGCAGGGAACAGGGCGCAGAATTGCAGAGCAAAGGCTAGCTTGATGGGTGGAACAGGAAGACCATTTAAATGTCTCAGTCTCCCGCCCTGTCTCCACCGCCCAGGTGTCCTACGTGAAGGCCATCGACATCTGGATGGCCGTGTGCTTGCTGTTCGTGTTCTCGGCCCTTCTGGAGTACGCTGCCGTCAACTTCGTCTCTCGGCAGCACAAAGAGCTGCTCAGGTTCAGAAGGAAGAGGAGGCACCATAAGGTAAGACACAAGTCATGCAAAGTACAGATGGGACCAGTGAGTCCCAGCGCTCTCGGCCCTCAATATCTTCCCATGTGGCCAGCTGGATCCAGTAAGTGGCACTCAGAGAAGTCCCATTTATATAAAGAGACAGATAGGAGGGACAGGGAACAAAACTCCTGATGGGCTCAACTGCTTGTGGTTCCCCCATCGAGACTCATCTTGGGTGCGGTCCAGTCCAGATAAAGGGATGCCTCTCTAAAAGGTTATGAGCAACTTCTGTAGGCAGCAATGCTTTGGCAGTGCTTGCAGAAGTGCTGCTCCTGGTTGAGGTGTGGGGGAGAAAAGCGGGATGGCAAACCCCAGTGAAGCAGCCTCCTGTCCGTAGGCTGGAGGTAAGTGAGATGCTCTTTGCTTGCACTAACCCTGTGCTCAGAGGCACGTGCTGCTCAGACTGGTTGTAAGCTTCATCTCTCAAGTACCCCCCCAAAAAAAAAGCTCTAGGCCTATTTCCCATGGCTGAAGCCAACCAGAACAGGCACACGTCAGGCAAAACCATACTGCCTGCAGCTTGGGTAAGAGTAGCGGTGGGATTCTTCTGTATGTGCCCACCACAGAGATGCTGAATCACACAATAAATTAGAGAGAAATGCAAAGATGGATACAGCCAGAGGCAGAGGACTATGCCTACTGGGCTCAGGACAGCACTGTACCCGGGCACATAGGCAGGCTGACAGATAGTACAGGTGTTTTCAAACGTAATAGGCAGGTGAAGTTCGTCTCCCACGGTGCAAGCGTATGGCCTCTCTTGAAAGATAAATCTACAGCCGGTGTAAAAGAGTGAGATGGGAAGAGAGACATGTCTGCTGAGTCCAGCCTTGATTACAGAAGCAAAGGAGTCAAATCAAACCCATCGTGAATTCAAAATCCCAGGTCGGTAACTTCTAGGCCATCTACTGCCACGCTGTGCCTCAGTTTCCCCATCTGGGTGCTTAGCACTTCTTACCTGTACGAAACCCACTGAGATCCAAACGCTATGTAAGGGCAAAACATAAAAGCCATGGAAGCCAACGGCCCGCCTCTGCTAATGGCGTAGGATCAGGCCCTTGCTGGTTCAATAAAAAACAAGCCCTTTCTGGTCTTGCGGGAGTGGGGAAATGCCTGCTTAATAGTCTCAGCTAAAACCTCCCAGCGCTGATGCCTCATCATGCCTTCATCTCTTAATCCCGACTGAGGCATCTCGCTTCTACCGAGCCAGGCGGAGGCATGCAGACCGCCCTGGAGGACTGTTGATAAAACAATCATAAAATCACTAGTCGAATGATCATTTGGAGCGCTACGTTTGCCAGGGACCTCCCACCGAGCACCAGGCTGCTCGGCCAATCCCCGCCTCGCCTCTCTGTGGATTTAATTGGAGCCACGCTTAAACGAGCCCGCTCGCAGCAAAAGGAAGGCAACAAGGTTTGTGCTCCTGTTGCCAACCCAGGGAGCTAATTGCGAATATGCAAATGGCCTGGTAATGCCAGGCAATGTTTTGAGATCTCGGTCTTGTTCCAGGCGTGAGACATCAGCCTGCCACAAAGCAATGGATTAAAAAAGGGCCTTGGCTGAAGGGCTAATCCAGCTGCTCCTTCGGTGCAACCCCTCAGCTCAGACAGATGTTCCCCAGTGGCTACCTAGGGTTCAAGCCATGCTAGCCCCTTTAGCCTCTGCTCCAGTCGCTCGACCCAAATTGCTATCACTAGCCATGCTGCATGCTGCACAGGTGCATAAACACAGAAAGTAGAAGCCTCTGGCTTCACCTATTTTCATGGCACTTAGCAATGGACACAAGTTGACTTCCCTGCCTGCAATGAGGTTCTCTCTCCCTTGCAACAAAATGCCTTTCCAGACTTCATTCCTCTCCCTGAAGTCTTCACTCTGAACTCATCTGTGTATAGGACACAGCTGGTCTGGTCATACTGCTTGCGGCTGTACCCTGCATGCACCTTGCATGTCTGAACCCTTGCCCTGGAGCCAGAGGGGCTGACTATCTAGTCTGTATGCCAACAGATCGCAAAACCCAAGTTATCATTCAAAGGGGCCTGTTTCATCCTTTTGCCCTTGCAAACAAGGCATTTCTGTCTGCAAAATGGGTATGCAGTGATGCAAACTGCAAGTGCAAATGAGACAGGCAGGCAGTTTTTGTCAGCATCAGCCTTCAGGTCTGTACTTCCGTAGGCATCAGTAGAGGAAAGCAGCCCACACAGGCTGCAAAGCCGGGAAAAATATGAATCCAGCGGCTCTTTGCTCTTTCCTCATTTTTCCTGTGCAGAGAATGATGTGCTTTGAGAAAATCCCTGAATGCGTGTGCTATCACATACATGCCAGAGCAAGCTGAATGCAGAACTCATCACAGATCTACTTGGGCCTAAACAGACCGATTCGGCCACACTCCTTACTCACGGGTGCAGAGTACCAACTGATTCATGAAATGATACCTGAGACTTCAAAAAATATTCCACAACCCCCCCGAGCTTTGCTGATTATAACACTCCTGGCTATTTACCCAGAACTCCCTTTCTTCTTCTTCTTTGCTTAAAAAAAAGGCATGCAGAAGCAATGCCACATCACCATCACTTTCAAACAGCAAACCATCACAGACACCTGCTTCCAGACCTGTTTCTGCCCCATAGCTCCTTTGTCCAGCTGGCCACTGGCAAATACGTGCTATGGTTTAGGAAGCTGAGAATGACTCTGATGCCTGTGCATGTTTTCTACCCCTTTAAGGACCGGACTACTCTGGCCTGGCACAGCTTTGGGGGACTTTTCCACCCTCTGCCGCCAGAGGCTGACCCCAAGAAAACCTGCTTGCTGCCTCATCGGCTGCTCTGTTCCCTTTTCATTGCCATTCTCTGCCCATCCAAGACATTTGAATTAGAAAGAGGTAAATCTGGAGATACAATGCTCCCCCATACAGGATGAATTTGCAGAAAACTGAGCCTGGCTTATAAAGGGTGAGAGGAAAGGCGAAATCTGCAATGCATATTATTTGCAATAAATTATCTATATACATGCACGCACGCACAAAAGTCAAGACTCCCCGGTTAGGACTGACTTGTGCACCGAATTTGCATGGACGTATATACACACACACACAGTTTCTATGCACCTAATTTTTCAGGGAAGGCTGCAGGTTGTCAGCACTGCTGGAAAAAGCAGGCATAAGCGATGATATAAAGGGTATGTTTGATATTAAGACGCTCGGGTGCACTGGAATCTCCAGCTGGAGAGGGGATACGTGTGCGTAGCTGTAGCAAGAAACCTTTTGAATCCTCCGGGAGATGGCGCAGGTGGAAGCCTGCCCCTGTGGCACTCGGTATTTCACTCACCTGTCCTTCCAGCCCAGCTCTTCCAGGCAGAGAATTATTAACCTGCAGCCCTCGGCTTCTTGCTTTGGTTCTCTGCCACCTGCCGGCAACCGCAGGAATTAGTCACCTCCCTGTCGCAAACCTGAGCCCGGCGATGCTGTCTCATAGAGTCAAGCAGGAGACGAGAGACTGAAGTAATTTGAAGATTAAAAAGTCACCCCCTGCTTTGAGACTCATAGAATCACAGAAAATGAGGCTGGAAGGGACCTCAGGGGTCACATCTAGTCCAACCCCCTGCTCAAAGCAGAACCAGCCCCAAATACATCATCCCAGCCAAGGCTTTGTCTAGTCAGGTCTTTAAAATCTGCAAGGATGGAGGGTCCGCAACCTCTCTGGGTAACTTGTTGGAGTGCTTTATTACCCTCCTTATGAAAAAGTTTTTCCTCATATCTAACCCTTGTTGCAGCTTGAGCCCATTGCTCCTTGTCCTGTCATCTGCCCCCACTAAGACCAGCCCAGCTCCATCCTCTTTGCAGCCCCCCTCAGCTGAATGATGTTATTCAATTCCCCTCGGTCTTCTCTTCTCCAGACTAAATCAGCCCAGTTCCCTCAGCCTCTCCTCACAAATCACGTCCCTCATCCCCCAAACCATTTTTGTTGCCCTCCTCTAAACTCTCTCCAATTTGCACACATCCTTTCTGTCGTGGGGGGCCCAAAACTGGACACGGGACTCCAGATGTGGCCTCCCCAGCGCTGAATAGAGGGGAAGAATCACTGCCCTCGATCAGGTGCCTCTCCCCGTTCATGTCCAAAGTCTCGTCCACCAGGGAGCAAAACCCACCTAAAACCTGATGAACCTCATTTCCCAGCACCTCTATGCTAAGTTTGCCCGGTCAATACACTGGAGTCTCCTTCTTTCTGGAGTAGGGATAGTTATTTCTATGGACTTCGGCCTGTCTCCAGTCTCGGTTCTCACTGAGGCCAGAGCATAGTGAGCCACTGGGGATGCGACCCATGCTTTGAAGACAAGCAGGCTGCTGTTGTGGGAACACCCATCCCTGATCTGGGCTGGTTCTCCCGCTACGGTACATCACTTCCTTCCCCCTTAAGCGATAGGTTTTTAAGGGACCTATAGGACTAGGTTTCTGGAACTGATAGGAGAAACCTGGTACCACCGCAGACATCTTGATAGAGAAGCTGAGTGTAACAACCTGCCCATCCTCACAGAGGCACTGCAAGAGACAAATGCTTTCCGGGGTGTGGGGTCTCCCATGCTATGGTACTAGAAAGGGACCTCAGAGACAGATGGACAAGGGAGGAGAGGAGGAGAGCCACAGAAATGGCCCATCCAGGGGCAGGAAGCAGGCAGGGCCCATGGGTAAGTCACGCGCTGCACCAGCTTGTCAAGGCTTTGCCTTTCACTCTTGGCTGTCCTTCATAGCGACCCGGCGGCGACCGTGAGACCCATCCGTGCTGCGCAGCTACGAGCTCGCGGTAGGGGCCATCCATAAAAAACGCTCTGCAAAAAGGAGCAGAAGGTGGAGAGGGGGCCGTTTCTAGAAAGACGAGGAAAGAACCAGAGCGGGCGGCTGCCGGACCGCGGCACGCATAATAGTTGCACGTGTCTAAACGGCTAAGTAAGGGCTGAGAGATTTGTGACGCAGAGTGAAGAAGCACCTTTCCAAATATTAGCATGGGCAAGCGATTCGCACCCGTGAATGAGAGCCAAAAGAATTGGTTTCCAAACTTTGGTTCTGTGCAACCAACTGACTGCCTTAGTTTGAGCGCGCTGCTGCAATTCTCCGAGCTCCGGTGCCCCTCTCCTTCGTAAAGCAGGAAAAAAAAAGGGCCTGTGCTTATGGACAAGGTAGTATCCACATATTGGATCACACAGTGCAGATCTTTGACTGAGCGCAGAATAACAGTACATTGAGGAGAGGAGGAGGGAAGTCCTTGTTGATTCATTTGATGAGGAAGAAAAGAGGGCAAAGGCAGGGGAAGGCTTGTATGGGCAGCTGGAAGAGAAGGGAAGATGGGTTTGCTGCTAATTCCTGAACCCCAGCAGAGGTCTTTTTCATGGATGGCTCTTAACACCTGCAAGTCCATGTAACTCCATAGGAATCGTCCCAGGGCGGCACTGACTATCCGAGTTACATGGAGCCCGTTCCTTCTGGGCGAGCCGAAAAGAAAAGAAGGTGTAGACAGGAGCTGGGGGGGAGGGACAGAAGCAAAACAGGGGATGTGAACAAAAAACCCACAATGCAACCCCAAAATGACTGGCTCTGAGGAAAGCCGAGTCCATCCCGCTTTCCAAAGGTGGCTGGATCCCCTGATTTGCATCTGTGTGGAAGAAAGTAGCACCCCTCTATAAGGCTGCTCTCCCAAGACGAGGGGGTTCTCCAACAGGGAGAGGCTTGTTCCCGGGGAGTAGCAGGCGATCAGCGGAGAGCCTTATAGCAAGGGTGCACAGTCTATATCTCATTTTAAGTAGAGCCCTATGCTGAATCTGTTCCAGGAGGACGAAACCGGGGAAGGCAGGTTCAACTTCTCCGCCTACGGGATGGGTCCTGCCTGTCTCCAAGCCAAGGATGGCATCTCCGTCAAAGGCGCCAACAACAACAACACAGCCAACCCGGCCCCACCGCCTTCCCGGTCCCACGAGGAGATGCGCAAGCTCTTCCTCCAGCGAGCCAAGAAGATCGACAAGATCTCGCGCATCGGCTTCCCCATGGCTTTCCTCATCTTCAACATTTTCTACTGGATTATCTACAAGATCGTCCGCAGGGAGGATGTTCACAACCAGTGAGCCCGGCCGCATTGTGGGAGGAGAGGAGAGGCAAGAGCGCGATCCTCTATACACATGTGCAATAGCAATGCAGCGATGCATGAATTTAAGAATGTGGCAATATCTATTTAAAAAAAAAAAAAGTGGGGGTGGGGTGGGGGGGTGGGACTTTTCAGTACATGAACTGAGGATTCGGGGGGTGGGAAAGAAGCTTTCATGAAACTTGAGTTGGGGGATTGCAGGGGGCTAGTTTTACAGCATAGGAAGGTCAGGATTGCTTCAACAGCAGTCCAAGCAATGTAATATATTAAATATATATCCACGCTTAATTATAATGCAAAAAAACAAAACAGAACAAAAAAAAAAAAACCCAAACCAACCACCCCCGCCCCTACCAAAAAAACCCGACAAAATCCCTCTTTTTTTAGCCTATTAACAGCTTAGATTCTAACGTCACTGGAATGTTTCATGATTCCATGTGCGGAATTATTGCAATTACGCTTTATTCTGACTTTTGCTATATAAAGGCCATACCAGTTTCCAACCAAGCACGCAAAAAAAAATACAACACCCCCCCCATGCCAGAAATTCATTATATTCTCTAGGTTCGGTGTTTTGAAGACTGGATGGACTGGGGAGGGGGAAGGGGGGGGTTAGGAAAGAGGTCAGGAATAGCAGTTAGATCATTTGTTGTTTTCCACCCCCGCAACATGCACATACTCCCTTGTCCCCAGTCAAGCATTTGCAAACCAACTTATTTTGTGACTCCTGATCAAAGATATCGTTTCTCCCACCCCCTACACTGGAGTGGCCCAACGGGGGCTTGGAAAATGTCATAAGCGTCCATCTAAATTTGCAAGTCTATTCTGTCCTTTGAGACATACCAAATGAATGACAATCTAGTCAACACCCGTAACACTGAAAGCAGTGCTATTTTTTTTTAAGACAGTGTTGGTTTCAGCCCTCTTATGCCATATTTGTTTCGAAAGGGGGTTGGACTTGGGTGTTACACAGTAAAGTACAAAAGAATCCAGGCATTTCGATGTTGCACCTTGTAGCAAGAGAAATAAGAGAACTGAAGCTGTATTGGGTTGCGGTTGGGGTGGGGGGCAATGGAAGATGTACAGAGAGCGCGGTCATTATTTTCGGACATTTCATAGCGGGTATAGGCTGGAGGCTGAGTACACAGCCCCACTATATTTTTGTAATGTTTTGGTGCTGCATTTTGCTTTAATGCTTAGGGAAA